TTAGGGGCAGGGGTCCCAGGAGGGGGCAGTCAGGGGACAAGGAACGGGGGGAGGGTTGGGGGTTCTGGGGGGGCGGGAAGTGGGAGGGGCAGGGGCGGGGCTAGGGCGGGGCTCCTCCCGTCCTCTTTTTTGCTTGCTGAAATATGGTAACCCTACTCTGTGCCCCTCACACCACTTGAATTGGCTGTTGCGATACTGATGCAATGAGACACACAAGACCTCTATTGCAGAGAGGGTTTCCCTGCTCTGGAAAAATCACTTCAGTTCAAATTTGTCATAGCAGTAAACCTAGGTATTTTGTTACCTTGTGTTTGTTAGCTGTGCACATGAACAGATACATGTCGGTATAAGCACACATGTGCACCAAAAATTCATGCCCTGGGACATTTATGAACATCCACACAGAGACACGCATGCAAACTGACAGACATACACACACGTTAGCACATTCAGAAGCCAATGTAGGCCTGTATATGCAGAGATGTAGCCATTCACCCAGCTGTGCAAACATGCGTGCATATGTAGACCTGTGCACACAGATGCATACATGCACAAGCACACACATTCCCCACGTTCTTGCCTGGTACACACACGCTTTCTGAGTTTGCTCTCCCCATAGGTTTTTCTGTATTAAAACCGTCGCCTTGACCTGAATGGCTACTATAACCTTCCAATACTGTGAGCTCTGAAGCCACATTAGCAACATAGCCAGATGCCCAGGGGTCATTAGTTAGTCACTGATATTCCTAGCAGGCTCTTGATAGGTCATGTTCTAGGGAATTGGTAACGGGATGCAGAAGGTCTTTCCTCAGAGTATCTGCCATGAGTCTGACCTGGGGCTGTAGTGACTGAAAGGCATTTCATGTCGATCACTGAACAGACTCCACTAATAGGCAGGTGCCCTCATCACAGTAATGCTCCCCTGCTCTTTATAGAACACCAACCAATCCTCACAACAGCCCTCTGGGGTTGCTATCCCTACGTTCAGGCAGGGGACACCATCTAGGGGATTTGCCCCGGGTCACACAGGAAGTCAGTGGCAGAGGCAGGAGTCAAAGTGAGGCATTCCTGGTCCCTAGAACTGTGCTCAGCCACCACCCCCGGCTGCCTCGTCACCACCACTCTCCTCGGGCACTGTTTGGCCCCTTTGGTGGTGGTCTCTGCGAGGAGAGGGCAAAGACTGACTGAGCCCTGGAGAATGAGCTCCGCTCTCATCCTTCCAGGGCAGGATCACAGCACACTGCCACGGGGAGTTGCGAGGAAGCTTGCCCTGACGCTGCCTGTGCTGTACCTCTGCAACCCCAGGACTGGCAATCAGGCGCCTTTCCCCAGTGCTTGCACTCACCGACTAACCTTTGTCCTTCCCCTTCCCTGGAGCACACTGTGACGCTCTCTCCTGTGTTGCAGGTGTAATCTGGCCCCTGTTCAGGACTATGCCTGGGACGTGGGGACGAAGACAGACCTTGTGACTATGAATCCTTCTGTCATCCAGCGTGCCTTCGAGGACCTGGTGAACGAGACCTGGCGGGAGAAGCTGCTGCAGCGTCTCCACAGTCTCAACGGCAGCATCCTCTGGATCCCCGCATTCATGGCCAAAGGGGGCAAGGAGCGCGTGGAGTGGGTCAACGAGCTCATCCTCAAGCACCGCATCAACGTCCGCACGGCCTACCCCTCGCTGCGCCTGCTGCACGCCGTCCGAGGGTGAGAATTCCTGCCTGGCCCCCGTCCCTCTTGCTGGGCCGAGACTGTCGCGTCTCAATGACACGGATGGGTTATGGGGACCTGTGGCTTTTTCTGGCTGATCTATTACTGGTTTTCAGCAATTGGACACGTATGTGCTGCAGGCCCAACAAAGCAGTGTGTTCCTGATATTTTTTAGTAGCTGGTATCTCATGAACCTCTCGAGTGAGAGTGCTATGTTTTGTGCTGGAGCTGACTTGAGCCAAACCCACTACAAGTCTCTCTGTGTTTCATTCTGCAGACCACCAGGAAGGGCTCGGTGTGCAATGGATGGTCCATAGACCAAAGATTGCCGACCCCTGCTTTAGATCATTTGCAAGCCGAGGCTCCCAGCTCTGGTCCCATCGCAGGAAGTGTTTGTTTATTGCCCTGGGATTTGGGGTGATAGCAAAGCTTACACCCATGTCCCTGGTCCCTCAGACTGTGAATGCTTTGTTGACTCTAGGCCTGGATTTCCGATCAGTGTAACTTTCAGACCTGCAGTTTGACTGGCGTATTTGTTGTTTCCCTGTGAGGAATTTGTGCTGTGGTCAGCTTAGCTAGTGATTAATCTTCTTGCTCCTTCCCCATTCTTCTGTCTCGGTCACAGGCATGGTCCTCACAGAGCTAGTTGGATCAGGAGATTGGGAATGGGCTACAAAGCCTTTCATTGATTCCAGTCTATCCTGGGTCAGGAGTGAAGGAAAGTTGCTACCATCTGATGGCTGTTCCAGAGTAGCCCGTGTGAAATGACTTTGGTGGTTTCAACCCCTTCTTGGTGGATAGACATTCACCTCATAAAACCCCATCACCATGAGTGGCAACTTCATTGCTAGTCTCAAGCGAGAGGCCAAGGATTGGATGGGCTTTAACTTCCTTTCACGTCTCAGGGGGTTAAGTCTAGGTGAAGCAATGAGACGGGAGCTTCTGGTCTACCTTCTCTGTGAATAGAGAGACTCGCAGACTGTCAATCTGGTTCTTCTCCCCAGTGTTAACAATACAGACTTCTTATTTCTGGCTCTCCCTATTACATCCCCCTTCCCCTGGAAACGTTGCAGGCTTAGTAGTGGTGAGGATGCGATGAAGTTCTTCTGCTCCCTGTTTTAATGGCATCAGATCCAAAACTGAAGTTGAAGGTCTGAGGGGTTCTACTAAAGCCTCCTGAGATCACAGGCTCACAGGAGATGAACAAGAACTTCCTTAGAACACGCTTTCTTCTTCACAGAACCAGGAGGGAGCTGACGTAACAGCTGAGGACTGTCCTCATCTACCATTGCAACACTGCATGGAGATGCAACATCATCAGGTTGTGGAAACGCTGAGGAATTGGTAATTGTCCTGCAGGCTGGGATGGGGTGGTCGGACGTGGGCTCGGCTATGAAATGCAGCACTGTTGTGTGGACTTGGCGTTGGCCCTACTGCTCTGGCAGAGAGAGCCAAAGAGAAGGCAGAGGTGGTTAGTCGCGTCGTTTGTACAAGGTGCTCCGGTGCTATGTGCCAGGTGAATAGATTAGATTCATGATGGATGGATGGATGGAATAGAGGAGAAGTTGTTGCCTGCTTTGTCAGTGGAGCCTCAGGTGAGTGGGAGTTAGCTGTGAGATGTATGTGTAGTTCAGGTCAGATGAGCAGTAGTTTAGGCACCAAGACAAAGGGGTTTATTAATGCAGGAGTGATGCTTCCATGTAAACCAAAGAGGGAGAAAAGGAGACTCCACAGGGTACAGGGCAGCTGAGCCAGGATCCGTCAGTGTGGACTATTAGAGGTGATCCAAGCTTTGCTCTCGGAAGGGGGGTCAGCAGCAGCCCCTTCCTTCCAGATGTTTTTTCCCCCGTACCTCCCTCTCCTGGGATGTGAATTTGTGCACACACCTGTCTGCACGTGCACTCCCCTCCCACCGCCGCTTTGTGGCTTTGCCTCCCCCACCAGCGTTGTTTTTCCTCCCAGAGTGGTGTTGTCCGTTTCCGTACGTTTGATCCGTTGATCTGCGCTTCGTAGAGCCTTATCCCAGCCTGGGGGCGCAGAACAGTCAGCACTGAGTGTGCCCTCAGGGCAGCTCCTGGGAACACACCTGAGGGCCGGCGTGTGCAGGAAGGGAGCAGGGGCTGGTTTTCAGCAGAAACAAACCCAAAGGACTATTGAGCGCACGTTTGCACAGGTATGTGACTCAGAGCACTGCCATCTGAGCAGACAGCAGCCTCCATGGGGCCCTTTGTCCCGACAACAGGGAGAGGAGGATCCTGCTGTCTGGATGAACCACAAATTGGGATCAAAACGAATTCCTGCTTTCGCTTGGCAGGGCGGTGGTTTCCTTGGGCTCAGAGGATTCTCAGGCAGGACAGTCACTATCCAAGGAAGGTGGGGAAAGATCCCACAGGAGGCACAAAATATAACCCAAACCTTGAGCTATTTCCAGCTGTAATTGACTTACTTTCATCTGTCAAAATAAAATTAAGCTCCTGTAATAAGCCCTTTAAATCAACAGGCTGCTAATCCTATGATTGCAGCGCGTCCCTGTGCCAGAAACTCCCCACAGGAGATGCTGCGTGAAATATTGGCAAGGGCCTCGTGGTGTCTCCTGCTGGGAGGAGAGCAGGGCGAAGGAGGAGCGCCATGGGCCAGTCTGATAATGGATCTCGCCTACTGATGCTGCAGCTCGTTCGCTGGTTGGCCTGGCCCTGCAGAACGGCTCCTTGCAGCAGCAACCCATCAAGCCGGGCTGGAGGTCTCTGGCACACAGAGCAAGCCAAATGGAGGCCTGTCAGGGCTTGACGGGGAGCTGATGGATATTGTGCTCTCCCATGTGTCTCCCGAAATAAACCAGATGCAAGGCTGGCAAGAGGCGCCGCATTCGGCCTGCACGGTGCAGCTGCTAGAGAAGAGGCGCTGGCGATCCTAAGTGAACGAGGGGATGGAGGAGCCACAAAGCGTGAACACCCTAGAACCCTGGGGCCTTGGAAGTGCCAGGCTAAGAAGTGCTTCGGGCAACCCCTAGGTGGCGTCTCTCGGTGCAATTGGGGATGCGTTCCCAGGGCCTCTTTCTGTGCATGCTCCCTTGCTCTGGGATCGAGTTCCCTGCCAGCAGATCTTGGTGACTATTCAGGATACGGAAAGTGACAGTGTAAGGAATCTGGTGGAATCTGCTGGCAAGGGGGAACCACACCGGGACGCTAGGAAGGGATGTCCTTCTCTCAGCCTTCTGACAATGCTTCCTGTGACTGCGGGTGCTCAGCCAGACAGTACCAGTCAAACCAGGAGGCAAATGCACTGCCCGGTGCTAGGATGGATGCCCAGTAAGGCCATGGCACTGGTGCACTGCCCGGTGCTAGGATGGATGCCCAGTAAAGCCATGGCGCTGGTATACTGCCCGGTGCTAGGACGGGTGCCCAGTGAGGCCATGGTGCTGGTGCACTGCCCGGTGCTAGGATGGGTGCCCAGAAAGGCCATGGCGCTGGTGCGCCGTCCGGTGCTAGGACGGGTGCCCAGAAAGGCTATGGCACTGGTGCACCGCCTGGTGCTAGGACGGGTGCCCAGAAAGGCCATGGCACTGGTGCGCTGCCTGGTGCTAGGACGGGTGCCCAGAAAGGCCATGGCACTGGTGCACCGCCTGGTGCTAGGACGGGTGCCCAGAAAGGCCATGGCACTGGTGCGCTGCCTGGTGCTAGGACGGGTGCCCAAGAAGGCCAGAGCATTGGTGCACAGGAGCCTTGCAAAGGGAAGCTGGATATATATTGACCGGGCATAGACTGCAGATCCTAAGTACCACATTGGCCTCCCATTCACTGAGGCTCTGGGCTGCCATTAAACTCAAGGCAGTCTTTTCTCCCCTTCCAGTTTCAGGCAGGCTCAGTGGCATGACTGGTCAGAGCTACAGCAGAGCCACTGGGCTACTTAAAGGCTTCAGGAGCCAGGACACGCAGCCAGTGAAGTGAGCAGCACAAGGGCAGAATCGCTGGCTCTTCCCGAGACTAGTCACGTCTGTAATGAGCATGGCAGGGACGAGAGAGGACGAGGAGAGCTGGCAGCTGGTTCTGAACAGAGCTAATTCAATTACAGCCACAGAGTCAGCTCGACCCCACCAAGAGGATCAGCCCTGCAGCTATGAAGGCAACAGACTGACCTGCCCTCTCGCTCTGGCTCTCGTACCTATCAGCCCAGCAGCAGGAGAACAAGCCTGCAGACTGAGAGCTAATGAATGACTAATGCTGCATCATTGCAATCCTGACTCCAGGTCACCCTCAGGGACACAGGGCTGGATACAGGCACTTCGGAGGGTTAGCCACTAGCTGGCTTGGAAAGAAGCTGGAGAGCAGCTGGTGGGTGAATTTCCAGTGGGACCACAATCGCTGCGCTAGCCCAGGAGCACGGCTGAGACTGCGCTTGTTATTGAACCTTCACAGGGCCGGGGTCTGCACAGGATAGCAGGGATGCAGTGACCGTTCCTGAGGAATGTTCAGAACTGGCTGTGAGGGTAAAACATCTTGGGACTTGTGAGCTTGGAGCAGGGCCGGCACCAGGCACCAGCCCACCAAGCGTGTGCTTGGGGCGGCACCTGGAGGGGGCGGCGCGGTGCTCCAGCTCTGGCTCCGGCCGCTGGGGAAGAGCGGAGCCGCAGCGGGCTCGCCGCCCTCCCCCGGCGCTCTGGCCGCCGGGAAGAGCGCGGCCGCGGCGGGCTCGCCGCCCTCCCCCCAGTGCTCTGGCCGCCGGGGAGAGTGGAGCCCCAGCCGGGCTCGCCACCCTCCCCCCGGCGCTCTGGCCGCCAGGGAGAGTGGAGCCGCAGCGGGCACTCCGCCCTCCCCCCAGTGCTCTGGCCGCCGGGGAGAGCGGAGCCCCGGCCGGGCTCTCCGCCCTCCCCCCCCCAGCGCTCCAGCTGGTCGGGCAGAGCGGCCCGCGGCCGGGCTCGGGACTCTCCCCTGCCGCGCTGGGGCAGCAAAAAAGCCAGAGCCCGCTCTGGCTTGGAGCCAGCTTGAGCTGAATGTCAC